TGAACAATTATATTTTTCTCGCAAAACATGTAAACAATCTGTCTCCAAATCATCCATAACTAAATCAGCAAACAACGGTGATATTGGAGAACCCATAGGTGTACCAAAAATCTGTTTGTAAACTATTCCATCAAACTGGAAAAAAGTATTATCAAACAAAAACTTTACCGTATCAACTATTTCAGTAAAAGGTATCACGGAAACAGAGTGAATCTTATTAAATCGCCTATCGAGACTCTCAATGACTAAATCACACAGAACGTTTGTAAACAAAGAGCTTACATCTAATGAAATTAGAATATAATCTGACGGAACTGTTATGTTCTGAAGTTTTTTTATAAGTTGAAAACTATTCTCAATATGTGAAAGTGGACGTAAGTTACATTTTTTTATTTCTTTGTCTAAAACTGTAGATAAAAAATGAACCGGGCTATTAATAGTTGAAATAATAGATCTAAGTGGATATCCATATTTGTGAATTTTAGGAAGGCCATAAGCTTTGGAAAGTACCGTGTTAGTTTGCGTGGGAGCATATTTATTATACTTCAAATGTAAATAGCCCTTTTCATTAAAATCGCGAAGAATTTTATAAACCCTCAACTGCAACGATCTCAAAACATTTTTAGTAGTTACAATTTTATATGTATTCACGTCATTTAATAATTCAATCATTTTTGATTTATAATCACAAACTTCCAAACAAACCGTTAAATTACCCTTATCAGCTCTTGTAAAAAATATATTGTCATTATCTCTAAGAAATTGCTTAGTGTGATCTATTTTTTGTTTCAATTCTTGGCATAGTAGAGGGGATACATTTGATTGTGTGTCTACCTGTGATTTGTTTTGGTATAAAAGGTAGCAGACACTGTTTGATTTGCCTTATTTCATAGTCGTTGTCTGATTTGAATTTTGAGTATTTGAACGAATGTTAAGTTATAAGATGAGTTTAACAATTTATTTTTGACTTTATTGTGATATTTGATTTGATTGTGACTTGCGAATTGAGGTAAATGTTTTGTTAGCGTGATTTTTATTTGTTTGTGTTTATATCTGTAACTATTCTCTTTTTGTTTTTTAATAAAGATCTGATGAGGATGGATATTTACCAACGAAACACACGTGTGTAACCACCTGAGATGATTATTTGATTATTTTTTTACAACGGGTTGGCTCTAAAATTGGATTAAAGAATTTTTTCCATCATTAGTATGTTACGCATTAAGGGCGGAAAGAAGGCGATTACAGACGAGTGTAAAAGTTGTGACCTTAGCGAAGTAAGGGTGGCAATCACACTTTATGATCGTCTTCTTTCCACCCATTATGCACACCACATTTTTTGTCTAATCTACACCGTAAGTGTGTTATTACATACATGTAAATGTGAGTGGAAATTATAGCACTATTTTCCGCTCTAGAGCGGAAAAGAGAGCCCTAGGATGGAATGTAAGACCTACGACGGAAATTTTTTCCTTTTCTTAACTTTTTCGCCCGTAAGGTTATTTTCCGCCCGATTTACATGCATATAACAGCATGCATTCGGTGGAGGCAGGGCAAAAAGGTATTTTTAACATGCATGTAACCATGGTATGTAATAAAGTTTTTTTAATAAACTCAAAAAGTCTTTTTTATAACATGTGAATAAAAACTACCATTTTCGGCGCCTATAAATGAATCAAAAATAGTTTCCCGAACATCACAAAGTGGAACGAGAATTCTTCTCCAATGCATAAATTAATGATTTGATTCAATTTACATTTACTCGTTTTATTCTGGTAAAAATATAGCAGTCGTGCCTTACATGTAAAAACATAGCTTGTATAAATTTTACCGCTTGTTTTTATTTCAGATTGAAAAATGAAAATTAATCGGTTAAACGTTCTAAACTTATTATTAGCATATTTTCAAGCGTTAAACATACCAGATAGTGTCACAAATTATTATGAAACAGAGTTGGCCGAAAAAATAAATGAATTTTTAATAGATGCAACACATGATTTCAACGATGTAAAAATGATTACTGATGACTCTTTGGATTTTCAAGAAGAGTATAAAGACTATAATGCGGAAATTATTGAAGATGAAATGCAACATCATTTTCCTGATCCGGATATAGCACCAACAAATCAATTTACAGCAGATAATGAAGAACTCGATTTTAAATACAAAAAAAGAGCTGTAGATTTTTGGAGAAGTAGCAAACCGAAGTAAAATTTAAGTTTCAAAACAGTGCAAAACAGATTCAAAAAAGTATCCATTAGTCAGCTACGTCGTTCGGCTCATTCAATTTATAAAGGTGGCACGTATAGAGAAAAAGTAGCACAAATTTGTCAGTATACCCTGGATAATTTTAAAGCAGCACTTGACAGTGGTTCAATTATCCATGATGAAGATATACTCGTAATTCGATGGGCCTAACAAGCTAAAAAAGAAATTGGTTTTGATGATAATAGATTCAAAGCTTCTAAACATTGGTTACTCAAATTTAAATAAGCACGCAGAATAGTTTCTAGGAAAATAAATAAGTTCATAATAAGAAAAACGCTAGAAAGTAGTGCAGACCTTACGGCTAAAGCTGAAACATTTATCGATGACGTTAAATCGTGTATATCAAGGATTGGACTCAAAAATTTATATAATTCAGATCAGAGCGGATTTTAGCTAGAAATGTATTCTGGAAGAACATTTGCAGTAGAAGGAGAAAAGCAAGTGCAAGATCTGGTACAGTCAATTTGAGCAAAAACGCATAGTTATACTATACAGCCATTAATATCAGCTACTGGACAACTTTTATCACCGCTATTTCCAGTTTTAAAGGAACCAAGTAGTAATTAATAATAATTCATTCCTGTTAATAATAATGAAGAAAAAAAAATGACATTTTTTTATAAATAAATTTTATGCCATTGTTTATAACTTTTGCTTCTTTTATATAGCGGGAATAGATTTCTCTCGTCGCGGGGTATCAAATTAAAAAAAAAATGATGAAAATATGTACCTTTTTCCCATTAGACTTGAAATTTTCATCCCTAAAAACTAGAGGTTTTCCGCCAATGACGATATTTTTTTTTCCACTAGTGGCATAAATTGTTGAACAATAAGCCAAAAACTTTGCCGGCCTGTAACTATTTTGTTTATCAACGGATCTGTGCCATCGTTGTTTTAAATTGAAGTTTATTTGAATTGCTATCCAAACCCGAAATAATTATTACAAAAAAGTTACTGAAAATGTTATTAATCTATTTTTCAATTAAGGTCGCTTTTGTTTTTTTGCTCCCACGATCGCAATTTTGATTTTTTTTGATAAATCATTTTGGAAATCGATAGAGGGCATTGATAGACATAACGTAAATTTTTTTTTCATTAGTGGATAACAATTGGGCTTCGAAAAATAAACGAGTATGTAATTTGTTTATAAGACGATAACTCGTAAACTATTAAACTTACAGATTCGCAATTCCGTACACATCATCTCGTAACAAAAAGACACCATTCAACGAGAAGCAGAGGAACAATGTTTATAACAACGCTAAAAAAAATTGTTTATAATATTTTCAAAATATAAAAGTTAATAGTTAATAACTTTTTACCTGATGGATATTTTTTGATGTGCAACCTATGGTTTGGTAGGTGATTTATTCATGAACAAAAAAGTATTCAACTATTTTGTTGTAAATGCTAACGGAACAAAGTTATAAAGAAAAGAACGAAAAAAGTCACAAAATTTATTAGTTTATGGTCATTTTAACAATGTGCCGCAACTTTCTCAGACTATGGATAGTTGTTATCTTAATGTACACCGTTCACACTACCTGTCAAAAAATAATCGTCCTGCCGAAATGAAAAACCGCGAAACGGCCTTTTCCGGCCTATTTTTCCTGGACTAGTTGGGTACCTTTCCTTGTGAGAAAGATAAATTTTTACAATTTCAAAATGTTAAAAATGAGTGCCCAGTACCGTTTGTTGTATACGCTGATTTCGAGAGTCTCTTGGAACTTAGAGCGATGTCTAACAATGAACGGTTTTATGAACATCATAAACCATACCGTGTTGGTTTTTTTTCGTCAAGTGTAGCTATGATGACTCTCTTTCATGTCATCAAAGCTACAGGCAGAATAATGTGGATGATGTTGGTCCAACCAAGTGGTTTGTTCACAATCTTAATGGCCAAGAATCTGCATGAGTTTCGCTATTTAATTTAATTTTTTTAATTATATTTAGTTTAAGCTGCTCAAAGCACATGAAACATTACTTGTCAAAAATCGAGGACTATACCCGTATTTTTTCATAATCTCAGTGGATACAATGCTCATCTATTTTGTGAGAGAAGCAGGCGAATCACCCACATACAGAAGCAGGCGAATCAGCCACATACACATGCACACACACACATGAACCCATTATCTATAGCTAACACCACACAAGTTACTACGTTGATAAGATTATAATACTTAGTGAATTTGAGTATTAACGTAACTGAATAATCGTTTACTATTTAATATTGGCGGATGTCGAGCATTCCAAATTTTTAAAACGTTTAATTGTTTTAGAATTGTAGGGTGTATTTGAGAATTTCATTTCCTTTATAACAGTTTCGGTTAAATTTTAGTATAAAATTACATATTTACAGATTGGTTATATAAACAAGAAATAATCATATGAAGGGTACTTCACAACACTAGTAAAATTGAAAGCTATCTTACTATACAAAATATTGCTATAATGCACTTCTTTGATAAATTTGGAAAAAAAATTGAGAAAAATAGTTACAACGTTAATAATAATGTAAACATTACGTATAATGTAGAGTAAATACTATATCTGATCCATTTAATTGATTTATATTCTTTATCCATTTTTTATAGACAAATAATTTATCGAAAAGTTAATAAAGCTTGTGGTTTAAGAGTCATTGTAGAGTATATACATGAATTTTTCTTTGTTCAAATTAATTGTCAATCATAATCAGTTATAAATATTAATTTTTAGTGTATACTTACGTATTTATTATTAAATTCACAAATATGTATATATATAAATATATATACAACCTATTATTAAGTTTATTATGAAAACATAATTTTAACAAACATAATAGTATTTATTTCATTACAAATCGAATTATATCCGTCTAATCAATAACTAAAGACAATCTCTAATATCACCACTACGGAAGGCGCAGTTATAAAGTAGATATCCACAACGCTCTGAAATTCGGCTGGAGGCAATAATCTTTATAAAATATTCTTTTTCAAGATACTCGAGGTTCTAAGAAACCGCTTCTTTTATAAATATAGATCAACGACTATACTACAACTGCGCGAACCTATACCTTCCTACTTCTCCCTACTCTTTTCTCTCATTCTATTATTTCATCTCGTTCACGCCTTCCCCTTTAATCAAAAAAATTTTGTTTGCCATCATTCAACGCTTTTAAAAATAGTATAAGATTATTCAAAAACTACATTTGTAAACTGAATAAATAGTTTTATATTCAAATGTATATAACTAGAGTGAAATAATGAGCAGTTAGAATATATTTATCTTTTAAATTACCGTATAACTCAAAAAAATATCGTAAAACTCAATTAATATCTAGAACGTATTGTGAAATTTGCGATTAGAATAAATTTCCTTTTATCTTTGGAGTAATATATACGAGAAAATATCGTAAAATTATATTGTAAAAAAAATAGTAATAGAATATCTTTTTTCAAAAAATATTTTCAATGTCACAGTATAGTGCTACATTGTCATAGTAACAAGATAGTCACAGTTTTAATTGAGCTTTACCTTAAGGAATGTAATAAATTGTATTAATCAGTTACATCAATATTTGTTGACGAATTGTACTGATTAATTTGGAATAGAGTTTTTGTACAATCATATAAAAAAGTAGATTATTTAATGAGGGTTATTCTTACAAATGAATAATTTAGAAAAAGTATTATCTAATAATAACGATAAAGGGATATTATTCCGCTTTACCGCTATTCGAAATGCAATTGAACCAGTATCTAGTGTTTTCACGTATCAGAAATTTGAAAAAACGCATTAAAATGTGTAAAAATGATTGATCGAATAGTATATAGCATTTTTTATATAAAGATATATTGGTATGCTAGATAGCTCTGAATAAGCAACGGGAATTATGAACCATTTCGGCTATCATTATCAAGAAAAGTTAAGAAATTCGTTCATACCGCGTATAAAACAAATTTCATAAAATGGATTTTAAACTCGACAATCATATGAACTTTTAGAACTGATAGTATTCAATAGTACACGAAATACAAGTAAGTGATACTACAAAGTAAATCTACATAATACAACAGTATAATGGTGAATGAGAAAAATTAATAAATACATAATTTTATTTCATAAAGCGAAAATTTAAAAGCTAACCTTGCAAAACCATTGCTTAACATATTTTACTTATAAAGATGAGTTGACAATTTTTATAAAAACATTTCATGAAACATCGGTGAAACATTACGTATAAGATTTGTGTAATATTGCAGCTGAAACTGAAAATGAACTAAGACTAAATATTCTATTATTTATTCGTTTTATTTTGGCGAAGTTGATTAAGTATTAACAAGCTACCTCTTGCGCCTGGAGTTCCATTCCCGTTGTGAGCGTATTTTTCTGCGATTGTAAATGTGCAATTTCATTAAATTAATATGGTTGTTCAGACAAGCATAAATAAATGTAATAATATAATACTAACATAATTGATATATAAATGTTTATTATAGAATAAAAACTGTACCAAAATATTTCACAAAAATTGCCTGACAAAATTTTACCAAATTTATATGAAATGTTTTGTGAAATCTTTTTGTACGATGTTTTCATACTTTCTGTTGCATAGGTACACAAATATATATTTATATGTCTATACAAGGGAGGCTATAAAAATATTTGAATAAAAGATTTCGCAATGTTTCTTCAAATATTTTAGAGGCATTTTAGAATATGCTGCATCAAACATTTCCGAAACATTGCTGCAGTTCATTTTGGACGAAAGTATAAATATTTCAAAAATATTTTAATGAAATATTGCTGACATGTTTCGAATCTTCTATGAAACCTTACGAAAAACTTGCAGTAACATTTAACACTGTGTGGGGTTATACTTTTGTAATAAAATATATGAGTCATTCTATTCATCAAGAGGTTAAACGAGCCCTATAGCAGAAATTTTTTCAATTAAATGTCGAATTCAAATATAACCGCTCTACTTTTTAATATAAATCAAAAATTATTTCAGTCTTACAAGCTGATCCTAAAATTTTCAAAACAATGAAATGAACTATCTATCTACCATATCACTCGTTTGGATTGTAAGATTAAAAATGAGATTTCAAAAATTGGTAGGCGTTTTGATCTTACTGCTGGATTACTCAGTATAGGGTTCAATCCTTAGACAATGGATTATAATACTGAAATAAATGCTCATCATAATGGTTCCGGAAAATACTTGAACATTTTCTTCAAAATTTAGATATTATTATAGATCGAGCTCTATGTTATATACTGATTTATTTTAATTTTAAAACCCTATAATGGGATAGCACAAATAACGAGTACTCTCTCTCCCCCCTCTATCTCTCTCTCAATTTACACACACGCACACACACACACACACACACGTAAATAGATACATACACACACACACATACATATAATATTGGATAGGCGCAAGTGCATGTTGTTCTTCATTTCTCATGCGGTTCAAACTTCTGAGCTATTATGTAGCTACATGTTATTTCAATTAGATGCAAAATACACCTCTTTATTTTCGGTTTTCAGATTTTATTTCCTGCTTGATGTTTCTCCTGTAGTTAATATTAAGACAATCTTCGCTCATAGTAAGATCCCACATCAAATTCAATTTGTTTCTAGCTTGATCTTTTGCATTTATGTTCATTTGTCAACTACGCAAAGGGCATGTATAAAACATGACTGAAACTAAACACGTAGTAGGTCGAGGCGGCTGTTCGACTTACACCAAGGGATAAGAGTTTTAACGATGTCAAATAACAACAGATGTATTTAGCAAACCATTATACAATATAAGTTTTTTGTATATTTTAGTACTGATCTATCTGACATTGGCAATTTTATTAATACATATTGTAATGATTTGCAAGACATGATAGAGATAAATTTTAAGTTTATTGTCCAAAGTCGATATTGTTTTCAAAATTGCTTGGATAAATGTTACTCCTTGATTCTTCGCCAAAAAAAAGCATACGTTAGTATAATTATTTTGACTAGTTTTTTATTAACAATTTTATAACTACATTATTTCTGCTTCATAAATTTGCTATAGATGAAATGAGTAGTTGTCTGTTATATATTTGGCTGCGCAACATCAAACAGCTACGCGCCTAAGTAATACCTTGGATTCTTACTGAGAAGTTTAATCTAACAACAAGAAACTAAAATCGAGATTCTAAAGTCTCATTTAAAATATCGTGAACCACAACGAGCTAAATAAGTGATAGTGATTCATTTCATTGTCTGAATTTTCGGATGAGCTTATAAAACCGAATAATTTTTACCTTGGCACCAAACGGTGAAGAGCCACTTAACACTACTTTGATTAGACATTATAAATGTCATCCAAATATCAAAGTTGGTGCATGCATTATCTGTGGAAAATTTACAAATCAAATACTCGTACACAACATAAATCACACTAGTGAATTTCTGGTTAAATACAACCTAAGAAGCCTAATAAAATTTATCAGTAATTATTTCGTAATTTGTTAAGTGCACTCCAATTGCGCCCTAACTTTACAACTATCATATGGAAAGCTAAGTAATGAAATGAGCTAATTTATTGTACAGTAAAAATTTGTATGTAGAGAGGAAATTAAACAAGAAATTATTAAGGAAACGAAAACAAATCGAAAATGGCCAAATAATGGAAACAACAAGTTATGAGGAATACAACGAATTACAGCTCTCAAAAATTGAAAATAACTTGGAAAGTATTATATTATACAATGTTACTAAAGAAAAAACTGATATGTTCAATGAACTATTAATCAAAGGAAGATAAAACATAAATCTAATTATACAAAAAGTTTCTTATGCTGAGGTTATTGTATTACCTAAACCAAAAATGAAAAGAGTTTCAAGAATAATTGTTAAGAAAACAAATAAAAATGATACCACCAATGTAGAAAATGTTGTTGGACACTATTTAATTAAAGACGAAATAATCGAAACAAATAAAAATGAACGTAGTAAATAACCATACTATTATAATAAATTGCATGAATGAAGATAGCTTTAACTTAATTGAGAAAACTTTAATGGAATAATCTGGGGTAATGATTCCAGGGATATGTAAGAATTTTACCACAAATGTGAGAGATACAAAGCTAGACCTAAACCAGTAAAATTTTACTACTAATTATGAGGATAAATGTAAAGTACTTTAAGTAAGCATATAAAAAATGTAATAGTACTACAGTTTTTATACCGGGTGTTCCAGACCATCCGTACAGCCATATTAAAATCGAAAATTCGTGTTTTTGTGAAAAATGTTTCAGATGAAAGTTGTTTACGACAAAGGGGGCCATCTATCTGAATAATTAGTTTTGACCTTGAACATCGTTTTAAGGTCATTTGAAGGACGAATTGTTTTTTTTAAATGGGAACCCCTATTTTTGACATCGGATACGAAAAGAGCGGGAAATTTTACGTCCACAAAGATATTTTAAAATTTTTTTTCATGGCCTTGAGAAGGTCGATTTAAGGTCAAATGCTTGAAAAACTGCCTAAAAGCGTTTTTTTAATTTTTAAGATATCGAAAAATGATCGCTACAAAATTTGTTCAGAACAGAGTGGGTCACCCAATGCACCAAAAACCTTTGATCTTTAACCTCATTTTGAAGGTCATTTCAAGGTCGAAGTGTTTTTCGTAATGGAAACCCCTCTTTTTGACCCCGGATTCGCACATAGCGCGAAATCCGACGTTTGGGGTATTATGTTGAGTTTCGATTGATCCACGACGTTCATCGCTAAGATCATGTGAAATTTAAATCCAATAGTATTTGCGAAACATTTACAAAATGTTTCGGGCTAAATTTATTAAATTCTACTGGGAGCACGTCGTGGATCAATCGAAACTCAACATAATACCTTATCCAAACGTCGGATTTCGCGCTATGTGCGAATCCGGGATCAAAAAG